TTTATTATGAGAATGGATGGACCCTGCCTCTGTGTCCCAGGGCAGCCTCTGCTGTGGCCCAGACACTGCCCAGCCCTGCCAGGGATATAGGAGCTTCCCAGAGCCTGGTGGGAGCTGGAAATCCCCTCAACCTTTCCTATAATTTCTGTGTAACCAGCCCAGGATCAGGTTGCACAGAAAGGTAATGGGCCTTAATGAGCACCTGGGATGCAGGTCCCTCCCGCACACCCCTCCCCCCTGTCGCTGCCCAGTGGGCGGCCGCTAAAGACTAGATGCTCTGAGCAGGTTGTCTTGCGTCAAGGTATTTGCAAAGCCATTTTCATCTCAGTCCGCCACCCCAGGCAAGTCCATTCATGCTTGTCCCAGCTCTCGCTGCCCTTGGGTGGAGAGGAATTCAGCAGGATAAAATGGCTTCTTGTTCTCTGTTTACGTGATGAGCCCCCAAACACAGTCCAATTGCCCCATTTCTTTTGTTGGGAGGCGGAGTTGGGGGAGGGTTATTTGAAACACAGCTTGTTTCACTGGTTGGAAAAATCTGTTTGTTGAAAGTTAGTTTAGACTAAAGGGCAGTGTCTGTCCATCCTTGAGGGGCTTTGCCTTTTCTTGCTGTTGTCATTTTATGCTTCATCTGTTTGTGTAGCAAATGCTTGTCTCCCAGCCTGTCTGTCCAAAAGAATAGAAATAATTCTCTTTCTACTTGCACTGCTCTTGATTTTTCAAAATGTGACACATAGTTGTGAGTGTCACAGAGTCAGGACAGGGAAGGCTGGGCCAGGGGTGGTGTCCTTCCTGTGACAGCAGAGCCTGCAGGTGAAGTGTCTTGCTCACAGCCACTCAGAACACCAGTGGCGTCTGGATTTATAATCCAGTCATGGACACTGACACTGCACCTTTCTTGTGGCTCTTTTTAACATTCCTAGAGTTTCCCTACTTGCCCCATCCCAGTCCCCACAGGTTGGGTAGGCCAGCCCTAGAGGTTTGCTTGGGAGGTTTTTGTTTGTTTGTTTTAATAATATGTTTAGTTTTACATCATTTTGTGCCTTTTCCTGTCTCAGTTGTAATCCCTGTGGGCTTCCCATCACCAAATCACCTGAGTGCCATCACCATAGTCCAGTGCACTTCTCCCTCTCCCCCCATTTTTGATCCCAATCCCCACTCCACCCCCGTAAAATATCTCTGGTATATAGTTGCTGATTATTATTATTATTTTCTCCCCTGGCCCTTTATGCTATTGCTATGAGTAAAACCATCTGGTGTTTTTCTTTTTCTTTCTGGCTTATCTCACTAAGCATGATCTTTTCCAGCTTCATCCATGTTGCTGCAGAAGGCATGAGTTTATCTTTTTTGATTGCTGAGCAATGTTCTATTATGTTTATGTACCACATCTTTTTAATCCAGTCATCTACTTTTGGGCATCTGGGTTATTTCCATGTCTTTCCAATTGTAAATAAAGCAGCAATAAACATGGGGGTGCAGGTGTCTTTAAATCAGTGTTTTTATGTAGGAGTGGGATTGCTGGGTCATATGGAAGCTCCATGTTTAGCAGTTTGAGAAACCCCTAAACAGTTTTCCATAGTGGTTGTACCAGTTTGCATTCCCACCAGCAATGCAGGAGAGTTCCTTTTTCTCCACATCCTCGCCAACATTTGTTGTTGCTAGTTGTTTGAAGATGTGCCATTCTCACTGGGGTGAGGTGGCATCTCATTGTGGTTTTAATTTGCATCTTCTTTATTACAAGTGATGTTGAAGATTTGTTCATATGCCTGTTGGCCATCTGTATTTCCTCTTTGGAGAAGTATCTTTAGCTCTTCTGCCCATTTTTTGATGGGGTTGTTTATTTTTGTTGAATTTCATCTGTTCTTTGTATATGTTTGTGATCAATCCTTTATCGCTAGCTTTGTGTGAGAAAATATTTTCCCAGTCAGTGGGATGTCTGTTTGTCTTTTGTAATGTCTCTGGTTGTGAGGTTTTTATTTTTAATGAACTGCGAAGGACCAGCACTATCCTGTGGACCAGCTCTTCTTGGTGTGCCTGCTCTGTGGGCTTTTTTCCCTCCCTACATGAGACACCCAGTAAAATAGCATGAGGTTGCTTCAGATTTCTATCATCTAGTTTGTAGGTGGAGGCGAAACCATTTTTAAAAAGTATTCAAGAAAGTGCCAACCCTCTCCCCTTTGCAAAGCAGCTCTTTCTGCTCTCTCGCATCTCTGCAAGCATCTGCCCTTTCCTAATAAACCTGTCCTTTTAAAATTATCAAAAAAAAAAAAAGAGGGGGAGAGCTAGCCATGAGACTAAATTAATAGCTAGTTGCAGTTCTGCTGTTGTAAGAACTTTCTTGACTTCTGAGCCCCAGTTCATTCATCTTCCAAACTGGGAAAATTGTGTTGCTTACACACTAACTACGAAGCCACTATTGAACTTGTGGTCTCATTTGTTCTGACAAGGGTGGGGCTCTTTGCTTCAGAAACATTTGTGAGGGTGCCCTCTAGTGGAATACATGAGAACTGCATCTGGATGACCTGGGCTTTCTGGCACAGCCTTGTAAAGCAGGCATAGAGTGGGCCCTTCTAACAAAAGATCCCTTCGAAGTTCCACTGGAGAAATGAGGAAATTGTCTGAAAGGGAGGATACTAAGCCAACTTCAGAGCTTCGTAGGATGTACAGGCTGGGCCAACTCTGGTTTAGAAGGCTCTTAGGCCAAGTTTTTGCAAGGCTGGTCCTTCGAGTCTCAGCTGGACACCTCCACCTTAGACACCTGCCCTCTCCAACCAATGTAAATGACACCGCTCTGAAACCCCCACACTCCCCCCCCATCATTCTTACATCACCCTCTTTGTATTACAGCCAGCACTTACCACCACTTGAAATTATTGGCATCTGCACTTGTCCATCACTTCCATAGTTGCATAGACTCAACAAAACAGGCACCTTGTCTATGTGGTTCCCTATTTTGTCCTTAAGAGTCCAGTAATGTTTGGCATAGCTTGGTGGAAATTCATTTACTTATGCATTCAGAACTGGGGTACAGGCCAGAGGTGCAGGGTGGTGAGAGGACTTAACCAGAGACAGTGGAGAGCAGAACAGGCAGACTAAATACACTGCTGAGGGGAGCAGCAGGCGAGACAGGAGAGGTCTGCTGCGCCATGTGGGTCAGCTCCCTGGCCGGGGATCAAACTCCTGGAGCAGCAGCGGCCAGCTTCCTAGTGCTGTGTTTTTTTTTTTGTTTGTTTGTTTGTTTGTTTGTTTGTTTTACAACAGTTTATTTTTACATCATTTTGTACATTTTTTTTTCCCATCTCAATCGTAATCCCCGCGGGTTTCCCATCACCAAGTTACCCGTGTGCCATCACCACAATCCCGTGCACTTCCCTCCCCACCCCACCCCGTTTTTGATCCCATTCCCCACTCCACCCCTGCAAAATGTCTCTGGTATATGGTTGTTCATTATTTTTGCTATTTTCTCGCCTGGTCCATTATACTCCTGCTATGAGTGAAACCATCCGGTATTTTTCTTTCTCTTTCTGGCTTATCTTACTAAGCATCATCTTTTCCAGCTCCATCTAAGTTGCTGCAAAAGACATGTGTTTCTCTTTTTTTTGTTGCTGAGTAATATTCCATTGTATATATGTACCACATCTTTCTAATCCAGTCATCTACTTTTGGGCATTTGGGCTGCTTCCATGTTTTTCCAATTGTAAATAAAGCAGCAATAAACATGGGGGTGCAGGTATCTTTTTGAATCAGTGTTTTTGTGTCTTTTGGGTAGATACCTAGGAGTGGGATTGCTGGGTCGTAGGGAAGCTCCATGTTTAGCAGTTTGAGGAACCTCCAAACAGTTTTCCATAGTGGTTGTACTAGTTTGCATTCCCACCAGCAGTGCAGGAGAGTTCCTTTTTCTCCACATCCTCGCCAACATTTGTTGTTGCTAGTTGTTTGAAGATGTGCCATTCTCACTGGGGTGAGGTGGTAGCTCATTGTGGTTTTAATTTGCATATCCCTTATTACGAGTAATGTTGAACATTTTTTCATATGTTTGCTGGCCATCTGCATTTCCTCTTTGGAGAAGTGTCTTTTTAGCTCTTCTGCCCATTTTTTTTGATGGGGTTGTTTATTTTTGTTGAGTTTCATCAGTTCTCCGTATATTTTTGTGATCAGTCCTTTATCACAACTTTTGTGTGAGGAAATGTTTTCCCAATTAGTGGGCTGTCTGTCTGTTTTTAGTAATGTCTGTTTTGCTGTACAGAAGCTCTTTAACTTGATGTAGTCCCATCTATTTATCTTTGCCTTCACTATTGTGGCGTTGGGTCCTAGCGCTGTGTTTTAACTGGTTGCGCCACCAGGGAGGGCTCCTAAAGACTTTTCCTATGCAACTTTTATTCTCCCCCTGAAACAGATCCATTTCCCTTTTATGCTTGGGATTGCAATTCTGTTTGCATCAGATAACTAGGCATATCATCAGCACTCAATAAATATGTAGTTATTGGTGTCTTTTGTGGAATACTACAGGGACTGAATAAACAATCAAGGAGAGAGCTGAGGTGGCTTATTAAATTTATTTCACAAACGTTAATACAGTGCCTATCTTTGGGTCAGGGATTGTTCTACACACCTTAATTCTTGGCATCACGGCTTTCTTACATGTCCACTGTACTTTGGTCTTTAACTTTTAGACTCAGTAGGGACTCTATTGTATTTTAGTGCCCCTCCCTTGTTAATGAAAAGAAGTTACTTTCTAGGCTGGTTACTGTTTTCACTGTACAAATAGATGAGGAAAAAAAGAATCAGGCTGCAATTAAGTTACCCTGTAATCGTCCAGAACATAAATTATCAGATTGACCACTTTGACTTATCTGTCACCCAACTATGGTTTGATTTGTTTGTGCTTGTTTCGCATGGTGGATGAATTTTGAAAATAAATAAATAAATAATTTTTTTAAAGGGACTGTACTTGTCTTTATAATCTGCACAGTTTTCTAACTGCCGTGATTTATGTCCTGCAGTACATTTTGAATCTTGCACTGGTCAACCAAGAACAGCCTATCATTCTGACAACACCCACTTTAAGCTGAGCCATGATGGCGTAGTTACAGTGAAAAGGGCTCTACAACTGCGTAATCTGGAAATAAGCTTCCTTATCCACGCCTGGGATGCCAGCCGCAGGAAGCACTCCGCCAAAGTCACACTGAAGGCAGAAGCCCACCAGCGCCACCGCCGCCATCAAGTATGTTGGGGTGTTTCTTTCTTGGAAATTGTTCTCTTAGTGGGCCTAATCTGGGTTCCCTGCCTCGGCACCCTTCACATTTAAAGCTGGGTAATTTTTGTGTGGGACTGTCCTGGGACTTGTACCTTGTTTATCAGCATCCCTCACCTGAGTCCTGCAGTAGGCCCCCCCCCCATTTTTTTTTTTAAAGATTTATTTAATAATGCATATAGAACAGAGGTGTAGGGGCAGTGAGAGGATTCACCAGAGACAGAGTGGAGAGCATAACAGGCAAATCAACGAAATATACTGCTGCTGGGAGCTGCGGGCAAGGCAGGAGAGTTCTACTGTACCATGTGGGTCACCTCCCTGGCCGGGGATCGAACTTGTGCTGTAGTGGCTGGTCGGCCTGCAATGCTGTGTTTTAACCCACTGTGCCACCAGGGAGGGCCCTGTTTTTTTTTGTTTTTTTAAGATTTACCTATATATTCAAGAACTGGGGTACATGCCAGAGGTGGGAGGGGGTGAGAGGATTTACCAGAGACAGAGTAGGACGCAGAACGGGCAAATCCATGGAATGACACTGCTGAGGGGAGCAGTGGGCAGGTCAGGAGAGGTCTGCCGTGCTGTGTGGGTCACTTTACTGGCAGGGGATCAATCTTGTGCTGCAGTGGCTTTGGATAGCTTCACAGTGCTGTGCTTTAACGAGTTGTGCCACCAGGGAGGGCCGTCACTGGGTGCCCCATTATGAGAATCAAAATTGTCTTCATATAATGCCAAGGGGGTTCTAACTGAACTGATTCTTGACTCGGGGTTTGCATTGTTGGGTAGCGAGGGGTCGGCAAGACAATGGCAAGATGGCGTTACCTTGATCCTACAGCTAGTGTGGGGAGTGTGCATATCAGGGAGGACTCTTGTCTGGGATTAAACCCCAGAACTACCATTTTCTGCCCTGAGTAACCCTGGGGGAGTCATGAATCTGTCTATGCTTGAATTTCTTTATCTGTACAAGGGAGATAATAATGGGTACATAGATGAATATATATGAAATGGTAGAACTAGCCAAGGCATATAAATGGGGACTCGGGAATTGCTACCTGGCTGACGCCCAGGCCAAGGGTGAGGGAAGAATCTATTCTCTGATTCACTGAGCTCTTGTTTCTAGTAGAGAGGGAAGGAAGGGTAAGCTTTTGCCCACTGGACTATAGTCTTGACTAGAGCCTTCCCCGTGGTATTGGGCCCTGGGTCTGGCACCTACCAAAGCCCAGGAAACACTCAGCGGGCAGACAGGTGGAATGGCCATGACTGGAATATGTCTGTCCACCCAGGTTCTTGGTGAGGGTGTTTCTGAGGACTGTTACCTAAAGCCAGATGCCTTTGTCACTTTCAAACTGCCCCCACGGTGCTCCCTGCCAGATGATGTCTCTCAGGGCTGTTCCAGGCGTATCCTGCTCCCTGCCTGGGACAGTTAAAGTGCCAGGGCCTTTCAGGCTGGCTCCTGGTTTTCTCCCTGAAGACTCTTGATCTTCTCAGAATTTAGTAGCTCTGACAGATCTAATTTTTCTCCGTGGTATTATTGGACAGACCAGAAAAACTTAGCCAGACTGTTTAAACAGAGCTCTTTGGCTAATGTCTCAGCCGTCATTCACAAAAACTCAGCATTGGGAGTTGTTACTGGGTTGTGGTGTGTGGAAGACTCTTAAGGAACAAACAGAGCAAACAGAGAGCTGTCAACTTTTCCATCCTACCTCTGTCCATTTGTCTGTTTCTATGTCTGCTGTGTCATGAACAGGTTCAAACATATACTGTCAAACCACACATCACAGTGATTTGTCTTTTACAAAACAGCATTTTTCTTTCAACTTGAGAAATTCCAGGGGGCCCTCCCTGGTGGCACAGGGGTTAAACTCTCAGCGCTACCAAGCTCTCTACAGCCACAGCAGCCTGAGTTTTATCCCCGGCCAGGGAGCTGACCCACATGCTCAGCAGACCTCTCCTGACCCGCCCGCTGCTCCCCTCGGCAGTGTGTTTTAGTAGATCTGCCTGTTCTGCTCCCCACTGTCTCTGGTGAATCCTTTAACACACATCCCCCACCTAAACTCTGGCCTACACCCCAGTTCTTATATGCATAAGTAAATCTTAAACAAGCAAAAAAAAAAAAGTCCAAGGGAAAATGGTGGCAACAGGGAGATTTTAGAGTCAACAGGAGCCCAGGTTGCTCCTTGTCTTTCTGTTCTGTCTCCCCCGGCATGTAGCTTCCGCCCTCACGGAGACGTCATTATCCAAATGTGTTGGTGCTGCAGCCATCACACCTTTATTTTAGGTGATAAGGAGTAAGGGGGGCGTGTCTGATGTGTGCGAAGTAAAGGGTACAGTGTGCTGTGTTCTGCCTGCACATACTGCATACTAAAGATAGAAAATATGGAAACCATTCAACGAGGAAGGAAGAATGGACTGTGGAGTAGTAGCTGGCACCTCTGTTGTCCTTTTTTGAGATTCACTTTCATCTGTCTTGAGCTCACAGGGCCCTTGCAGAGTCAGGTCTGGTCTGCATTAGGAGGGGGGGGCACCATCTTAAACCTTTTAATTCCTATAAGAAAGATCTCCTAGCTATCCAGGCATGTTGCTGGGTACCCGGGAGTACACAGTCTTGCCAGGTTTCCCTCAGTAAAGATGGTGGGAGAGGAGAGGCTAAGGCTAAATCCACCCTTGCACCTCTGTCTCTTGGGTCAGTCTGGCATCTTGGTTTTGCTTGAGGGATGTATGCCATGCTCAGTCTGTGTAGGAGTGATGCCTTTCACCTCACACACGAAGATCTTCATGTTGGTTTCTCAACCCTTGTGATTATCAGAATTTACTATCCTCTGAAAGTCCTCTGCTGTCCTCATGTCGGCAGGGCAGACTCTTCCTCTTCCAGGCACGGAGTGAGTTTGTATCCACTCAGTGAGGCCCTGAGGTGCCTCAGTTGCCGCAGCCTCCACAACCAGTCACGGGCTGTTCCTCTGCTGGGCCCAGATCCCAAACATAGCTTCATCAAAACGTAACTTGATGTTTTCTAACCAGGCTCGCTTAGCTGTCATCTTGGTCATTATCCGTCACTGAGCACGGACTATGTTTTAGACACTGTTTAAAAAGTGCTTTAGCAGCTGCATTGGTTGGTTATTTCATGAAATCCTTGACTCTGAGGTGGGTACTAATTCAAGAACACTTTAGATGTCAAACCGGGACAGAGGAGCTAAATAACCTCCCCAGCAGGAGGGGTGCCACAATGAGGATTCACGGCCTGGCTCTAGAGCCTTCTCTCAGTGCAGGGACCACGGCTGCCTTGCAGCTTAACGCAGGACAACACAGGTGTGCACACACCCGATACATGAGGTGGAAGTTGGAAGGTTCTCTGAAACCTGGTCACACTGTATGTTTGCCGTGTGTGTTTTGACCTAAAAGCAAGGAGATGGGGTTGGAATCATCCTTGGCAAATGGTGATCAGTGACGGAGTGAGTGGGCATGGGTTCTCCTCGGCACTTTTACACTGTCACCGCTAGGTCATTTTAGCGTAAACAATTTGGAAGCTCTTACCCACCCTTCCATCTTCAATGATCTTATTTCCCTGTGTGTGCATAAAATTCTCTATCACATGCAAAAACTGTTGATTATAAGTCACAACGGGGTGTTTGGTTCCCATCCCAATACTTCAGTTTAGAACAAATGGAAACCACAATGCCATAATAAGATTAAAGAATGTGTATTGACCATAGTGGTCCTTGGTACCAATTCCCAAAACTTATACATCAATAAAGTGGTTAACTGCACTTTTGGGGGGCTGGGAGGGGGGGCTTATGAAAACCAAAGAAGACTCTGAATAACCAGTTACTGAATAAGCTTTTCTATTACAGCATTAGCCTATATTGTTCTATTTTAAATGACAAGTGTGTGATAAGTGTGATGCAGGCTTGAATAACTTATAAAAATTAATAAAAATTAACAAATCCTCAAACCTTTCGGCATATTATATTACGTAATGACTACCCAAACTCTGGATACTTAAATTATTAAGAGAACACAATATTGTGTGGCAAAGGGGTTTATTGGGTTTTGTTTTGACTGTTGAGCTGTTATTAAGTTAAACCATCTACTCCCTCAGCTGGCTGGGAGGTTGGTCTCTGACCTCATTTCTCTAGAACTTTCTCATTTTGTTCTTCATGTCTTGTCTTTTAGGACTCTAAGGCTCAGCTGGAAGTGCTCACATTCCCCAGTTCCCACCAGGGGCTCAGAAGACAGAAGAGAGACTGGGTTATCCCCCCGATCAACTGCCCAGAAAATGAGAAAGGCCCATTTCCCAAAAAACTGGTTCAGGTAGAGAAGGAAGTTGTTTTCAGTGGGAGGAATTGAGCAGGGAAGGATCAAGGAGAGAAAGAGAAATGACCCATGTCAGGGTCCTTCCTGGCTAACTCTTTATTTTTCTCTTTTCAGATTAAATCAAACAGGGACAAAGAAATCAAAGTTTTCTATAGCATCACTGGTCAAGGAGCGGACAGCCCCCCTGTGGGCGTATTTATAATTGAAAGAGAATCAGGTTGGCTGAAGGTGACAGAGCCTCTGGATAGAGAACTAATTCCCAAGTACACCGTAAGTAGCTCTTGATTTATCAATGGTGGGGACATCTTCCGAAAGGATGCCATGTGGGATGGCTAGGCCCAGATGCTCTGGACATGTGAGGAACTTAAGCGACACCTCTTAGACCTGTTAAGTGACAAGAGAACCTAGAAAAATTGGGAATGTTTCATTTTTTGTTAGGAATTGGGGTAGATTTCTGATGAGTTTAGCTGTAAGAGGGTGACCTATTCTTAAGGGGTTCAGTGGTGGTAGGGGAGCACACCATTTCTGAGCCCCGGGTACAGCATCACTCAGGCTGAGAGGTCATGCACTGCTGTCTGGAGGGACATTCACCTGCAAGGGGTCAGAGCAACTTTACCCTGCTTGGAGCTAGTCAGGCATGGTTTCAGTCATCAGGCTGACATCTCCTTCAGCCTGAAGCCCCAGCCTGGCGGTAGGTGGGCTGTGGGGAGGCTTGCAGGGAGGCCAGCAGAGCCCACCCTGCTCTGCTCGGTTCCCTTCCTCCCACCTCTTCTTTGACCAAGGTGTAAGTCACCCTCTCTGGGCTCCTCTTGCAGCTTTTCTCTCATGCTGTGTCGTCCAACGGGAATGCCATTGAAGAGCCGATGGAGATTGTAATAACAGTGACAGATCAGAATGACAATAAGCCGGTGTTCACCCAGCAGGTCTTTGAGGGGTCTGTCATGGAAGGTGCTCTTCCAGGTATGTCCATCGATGAGGTGAATACTCAGAAAGACACTGGATTCTGTGGGCCCCAAAGCATTAGGGCTGAAGTCAGCTCCTTCATAGGGAAGAACTGTGGGATGGCGGGCTGGGGGGAGGGAGGAACGGGGAGAGACAGACATGGAACTCTTATTTAGATGTTCTAGGAATTAGCCCTTTGTCAGATACCAATGGGCTACAAATATTTTCTTCCACCTTTAAAGTAATTAACCAATTCTGAAACTGGCTGAAAAGCAAACTGTAGAAATTTTTGTAACTTTACAGAGGGTAAGGGACAGGGGAAAAAAAGTTTTAGTTTTGGTTATTTATTGCCCATATTATTCCTCACCTGTATACCCCACCCCCTGGCCACCATCCAAAATATGTGCTGGGGAAGCTGAACAGTGCTCCTGGGCAGTGCTTGCTTCCTTCCTCTCAGCACTTGAGAACTTCAGAGGATGGGTGAGGGGAGCCCCTACCCCCAACACTGAGTGGGACTGAGGTGGCAGTACTGACCAGACCCCATACTCGGCGCGGCCTGACCAAGTCTTCCTCTCCCTCGATGCTTCCAGGGACATCTGTGATGCAGGTCACTGCCACCGACGCGGACGATGATGTGAACACACACAACGCTGCCATTGCTTACTCCATCCTCAGCCAGGAGCCGAAGCAGCCGCACAGCAGCATGTTCACCATCGACCGCCAAACTGGCGTCATCCATGTGATCAGCACGGGCCTAGACCGGGAGGTAAGGGGACAACAGATAGACGTTAGCTCCACCCAAGGACAAAGCAAACCTCCTTTCAGGCCAGTGGGGGCCTGAGGCCAGTGTGTAAACATCTGTCCAGAGGCCTTGTGCCTGGGGCGGGCGTGTAACACCCTCTGTGTACAGTGGGCAGGCCGGGGCCTGGCGTGACCCTCTGACCCGGCGGTGATTCCTGTGTCTGCAGAGTGTCCCCACGTACACCCTGGAGGTGCAAGCTGCGGATCTTGAAGGTCAAGGCTTAAGCACAACAGCCACAGCCGTGATCACAGTCCGTGACCACAACGACAACCAGCCCATCTTCAACCCTACCACGGTAATTCTGCAGCTCTGGATGGTTTCCAAAGAAGGGGCCTTTGCTGCTTCACGTTGCTCCTGGCGGGCCTCTGACAGCTTCCCCCGACTAGGGAACGTCCACCTCAAGGGCGAAGCCACAGGAGCGGAGCGGCAAGTGCCGAGCTTCTGTTTCCTTGGTGACCTGTGTTAGACACTGAAGACAGAAATTCTGCTGGGGATGTCAGATACCTTGTACAAAGTATTGTTTGCAATTCTATTAAATGCAGTCAAGGAGAAGGCAGAAAGCAACATAGAAAAACCTAGGTCTTCTGTTCGTGACAGAGAGCCGACTCTTGAGTTACAGACCTTTGTCTTGTGCTAACACTGGTCCTGGCTTCCATTGCCCCCTTGTGGCCCAGGAAGGAGGCAAGACATGCACAAGGTGTTACTTCTGGCCAGGATCTCCTCGTTCTGTGAAGAGGTCTACAAATAAGGCTAGAAATACAGTATTTTATCCAGGTATATAGCTGCCACCATCAGGATCATTAGTGAGGAAGGGCAGAAGGGCTTTTCAGGAGACCAGGACGGAAGTGCCTGCCACCCTAAGTCCAGCATGCTGAGTCCAAGTGACATTTCAGAAAGACAGTAATGTTTAGACAAAGGCTTGGTCAGAGGCTACAGGTATGGGGCAGGAGATGGTGGGAGGGTGTTCTAGGGCAAAGGGATCAAAATACCGTGACTCGAGAGCAAGCTTAATGCACATCAAGTGCTGAACAGCAGTGAAGCTATAGAGGTGTGGGGTAGGGTGGGTGCTTGTAAGTTGAGGTGAGCATTTTAGAAGAAGGTAGCCTGAGTGTGGGGGACTTCCCCAGCAGGTGGCAGAGCACTGCGATGGCTGGTCCCACCAAGAAAAGGGGTGGGGGGGCTTTGGGTGAATACACGGAGTGGTCCTTGCCCAAAACCACAGCCATCAATGAGGCCAGCATGCTGACCTCGGAGGGCCCTGCCCTCCTCAAGTTCCTTTACAGCTTAATGTGCATGAACAGAAGAGGCCCTGCCACGACCCATCTGAAGGACCCCAAGATCCCACCGCACTGTCGAGACTTGGTGTCTGCTCAGTGACCCCTCTCTTTTGTTCTGCAGTACCAGGGGTCAGTGCCTGAGAACCAGGTTGGGGCCAACATCGCCACCCTCAAAGTGACTGATGCCGATGTCCCCAACACCCCAGCATGGACGGCCGTGTACACCGTATTAAATGATGATGAAGGTCAATTTGTGGTCACCACAGACCCCATCACCAACGAAGGCATTCTGAGGACCGCTAAGGTTTGTAGTGGTAGCTGGTGAGATGCAGAAACTGACGGCCCTCTGCCCGCTCTCTGGCCCCCTGTGTTCTCCAAGCTGGGCCAGCACTGGACCTGGACCTTACTGCTGACTGACATCCAACTCCGTCTTCTTGTCTCTAAGCTTAGTGGCACCGGGGCAGGTCTTATTGTGTACTGTTAAAGGGGGTGCATGTCACGTAGGATGTGAACATTCTTCCTAATCTGTTCTGGAGTTTAACTGCCCTGGAGATGGCGGCCTGTGAGTCAGGGGGACGGCGATGCCCAGGCCCTGCTGGCTCTGGGGTGAAGGCCCAGGCATCCATACTCTTGAAAAGCAAGTTTTTCCTAATAGTGTCAGTTTGGAGCTAACCTAAAGTCATAATCAAGGATGTTTTTAACAATAAATCATTCTCTCTGGTCCTTAGGGGTTGGATTATGAGGCCAAGCAGAAGTATGTTCTGTACGTGACTGCGACAAATGAGGTTCCCTTTGATGTCCAGCTCCCCACCTCCACAGCCACCGTCACTGTCATTGTCACGGATGTGAACGAAAGCCCCATCTTCATACCTCCCCAAAAGGAAGTGGAAGTGCCCGAAGACTTGGGTGTGGGCCAGGAAATCACGTCCTACACAGCCGAGGACCCGGACCGCTTTATGAACCAGAAGCTAACGTGAGTGAGGGCTTCCCCCCGACTGCCACCCCCTCTGGCGATCCCAGGTCCTCTCTGCTTCCTCTCTGTTCCTGTACACTAATCACAGCTCCAGCTGCTGAACACACAAAGCAGCCACAGCAAGACCCTGTCTTTGTAGGATAATCTTAATTGTTTGGTCCCACAGGACTGTAGTGTAACTCTAACGCTGAGCACAAGCCCAAATGGGACACATCTGTGTCTGTAACTGATTTCCGGGCACCTCCATCACTGTGCCTGCGTGCCAGTATGGAGTATTCAGGATGCTGTGGGAATAGTTATGTCACCCCTGAAATAATGCCCAGGACTGTTCTGGGAAATAACTCGTTCTGCCCCTAGTGAAGGGCTCACCAGCACCTCGGATAGAGGGGCTGTGCAAAGCTGCTGGATGTGAGCACCCCTCATTTCTTTCTCCCCCATATCTACTGTGGGAACCCTGAATAAACGGCAAAAGGATAAGGGAGTATTACACAGGGTAAAATAATTGGCAGTATTGTGTGCAGTGTTCGTACTAGGAAACTGACTGCTCAAATGATACAACTCTAACTTGGAGACAGATAATTTGAACATAACCGTGGCACTAAAGACTTCACTGTTCTTGCTAGGTGTACCTGTGGCATTGTATGTTTTAGAAAATACTTACCTAAGGGAGCGGTATAATGCATGTTTGCAGACGTCTCAGGACGCTAAAATACCGCAGCGTGGCCGTGCCTTCAGTGCACGGCTCATGATGTGGCTGCTGTGAGCGGTCCGTCCAAAGCTGCCATTAAATTGTATGACCGGAAGAACATAACAGCCTTGAGCTACCTGTTGTTGCTGTTTCCATACCGGAGCTTCTGCTTTTTCAGGTATCGGATTTGGAGGGACACCGCCAATTGGCTGGAGATAAATCCAGAAACGGGAGCCATTTCCACGCGGGCCGAGATGGACAGAGAGGACATTGAGCATGTGAAGAACAATACGTACACAGCCCTCATTATAGCCACCGACGACGGTAAGGCTGCCCGTCATCTGCTCCGGGCTGGCTTGTTTACACCTTCCTGGCCCCATCATGATTTTAGAGGCAGGAATTTCCTAAAAAAAAATCAAGCAAAAGTTCACGTTTTCCAATCTGTCTATATTTGATCCCCACTTCTTCCTCACATGAGCCAGCCTGCCTGGATTTAGAGCCCAGACTCAAGCTTAATCCCTGTGTGTCCTTGTACTCATTACCTGTGTGCCAGTTACTTAATCTGAGAAAAGCATAGTCTCATCTGATTGAGCTAATTTACATACACTTGGTAGCACGGTGGCCACCATCATCATTAGTGAAATAAGGCTCCTTCCAGACTGTTTCTGTGTATGTGAATACATTTATACGTGTACACAAGTACAGTTTGTTAGAAAAACACTATCTAGCTTATAGCTTCTCCATCCTCAAATGTTAAAAAATACACACTTTGATAGTATCTTTAAGACAAGTCCATCATGGTTCATTTTTCCATGAGTGATGTCCAAATATTTCATTTGGATGCTCAGAAGCAGACTTGCTATTAGCAGACTTACTGTTAAAGAGACATGCTGCTGCTTTCCCTCCATCCTCCACCTCCCAAGGCAAGTAATTCTAGGCCTGACAATCTGGAAAGCAGAGTAAGGCAGGTGAGGTCACGATGGGGCCACCACGCAGCTGCTGGGTGATGCAGCGTGCTCTGCACCAGGAGCCCGCCATGGAAGGACAAGCCTGGGCTCACTGGCTCAAATCTAAAACCTGTTCCCAGACCTGGGATTTTTGAGTAGGCTAGAAAGCAGAAGGAAAGGAAAGCCCACCATGATGGACGGCCGACTGCAGAAGGCTTTTGCACTAAGGGAAATGTTAGCCGCTGCTTCAGCTGCCCTGGCCTGGCCGAAAGTGAGATATAGAAATGCTAACAAACCTCAGGTTGGCAAGTCTTCTTTCTGGACGTGGCCGGGGGTCGTATTTAGCCCTTGGAGGCCACCTAATACTTTTGTCATGTAGCCTAAAAGCAGTCGTAGACAGCCTGTGGAGAAATGATGCACAGCTGGGCTCCTGATTGGGCCTCAAGTCCTTAGTTGGCTTAACCTGCTGACATACTAATCATCGCTAAGGTGTGGTGACTGTGAATGATTCCTGCTGGTGCATGACTCACAACCTTGTAAAGTAAGGTTTAAGGGTAGAGTGAGGTTTCTCAGACAGTATTAGCCAATTCACAATGTAAAACAATTAAAAGATGCTCAAATTGTACTTAGTTATAAGAAGATCCATCCAGGGATAAATGGATAAACAAAACCTATGTGCCTAAAATGGGACATTTTCAGCCTTAGAAAAGAAGGAAATCTGTCCTGGCAAGAACCTAGAGGACAGGAAAAGTTAGACTGTACAACACAGTGAATTACTTACACTATTGAACAGAAGACTGAAAATGATATCGTTTGAGATGTAGACTTACTTCCCCCATAAAACACTAATGTTGATTATTCTTCAGTATTTTTTTCCCTAGTATTAGATATAAGGTGCTATGTCAGGATATAAAAGAAATGCTGACAGAAGTGTGTGTGAAAAGTAACTTGCAGAAATTTTAAAAAGCTACAGATCAGAAAAGAACTAGTGGGCAGCACTGAGGACTTTTGGGGTGGTTAAACGGCAAACAGTAAGTGGGTAGGTGCTTAAAGCTGGCTAGCTCTGTGGAGAAAGGAGGGTGTGAGGAGTAACTTCAGCAGTGGCTACCCACAGCGGGGAAGGGACACATCAGCTGGAGACGGAGCCCTGCAGAGCCAGGACACCATTGAATTTGATATGATGGGAGCTAGTTTGGACACACTCATGTTCCTAATTATGCTACATTCCTCTGTGTTCTCTTAGGTTCTCTAGCTATGACCGGAACAGGAACCCTTCTCCTAGTCCTGCTGGATGTGAATGATAATGGCCCCGTGCTAGAGTCTCGAAGCACTGAGTTCTGCCAGAGGGACCCTCAGTCTCGAACCATCAAAATCATTGATAGCGATCTTCCCCCCAACACGTCTCCTTTCAAAGCAGAACTGATACATGGGTCAAGTGTCAACTGGACCGTTGAGGTCCAAGACCCAGGTGGGAACGGGCATGTTTCGGTCAACCCTGTGCTTCCCCTGTTCCCTTTCAGATGCCACCCCTTGGGTGGATGCTTGTTTTCTTGCCTCTTCTGCCTCTGAAGGATTCCATAGGTGCCCTTCCTTTCTTTCTTTCTTGGGGTCTGACTGCCACACTGCCCAGTCATCCATACCCAGGGCAGCTGTTTTCGTGGCTCACTTTGGAATGTGTCTCGTTCCTTGGTGATATTATTCTAGAACAAGCTTTTATCTTCTCTTGCCCCATTATGTATTTTTGTTCCTCCTTTTAGCCAAAGAATCTATCGTTTTGATGCCCAAAAAATCCTTAGAATTGGGTGAATACAAAATAAACCTCAAGCTCACAGATAACCAGAACAAAGACCAGGTGACCACTTTAGAGGCGTTCGTGTGTGACTGTGAAGGGGCTGTGTCCAACCACCAATGTGGGAATCTCAAGCAGTTTGCCACAGCCGGGTTAGAAGTACCTGCCATTCTGGGCATACTTGGAGGTATCCTCGCTTTCCTGAGTAAGTACGACTGGCAAGCTGACTTCCCACAGTGCTAGCGGGCCTAAGCTCAAAAGGCAGCTTAGGTCAACACAGAATCCCAGCCACCAAGATGGTGTTTCAACGTCTAGTACACACTGACCACACGAGCCTCTACAAAACGAGGTTCTGGTCCAGTAGCTGTAGAGAAGGGCCTCAGACTCCACATTGCTAACCTGCCCTCAGGCACCCAGGACCTTGGCCGCACTCCAGGCAACAAGGCCCAGTGACACTGTTCCCAGCAGCAGGGCCAGAACGAGCAAGCTCCCCACTTCCACATTCCACGCTGGAGGAAGGCTGACTGGAGACTGCAGTGGCACCTTCATGCCTCCCCAACCCCAATCCACACAGCACATCTGCCTCCAGGGGAGCCCGGAAGTTCTCAGACTCTATGGAGTGGTGCACGGTGTCAGCGTGCATGGATGTTGTGTAGAACACTGTGACAGTCACTCAGTGAAATGACCTAATGGTGCCTTTCTCAGTATGCATCTGTGTTAAGCAACACATGACTATAGATCCTAGAAATAGCCCAAGATTTAAGATCAGGTGAGAACTTTGAAAATTAAACGGATTTTATAGGCTGTGCCCATCCCCTTTAACTGATTAATATGTTGGTATCAACCTCATTTAAGCTGACACAGTCCTGTCCACATCTAAAGATCCACTATGTCCTGCTGCACGTGTTCACTGCAGGGAAGGGGAACCGCCTGTCTGGTGTGCAGAGCGGGGGTGCCAATAGCTGTTTGGGTCCCTGACATTGGTGCTCACGGTTGTCTTCCCACTCTCCAGTTCTGCTCCTGCTGCTGCTTTTGTTTGTCCGGAGGAGAAGAGTGGTCAAAGAGCCCTTGCTGCCTCCTGAAGATGACACCCGAGACAACGTTTATTACTACGATGAAGAAGGAGGTGGAGAAGAAGACCAGGTGGGTTTTTAAACTGATGAAAAGCTTAACAGGACTCCATGTGGAGGAAGCAGGACTAGGAGAAGGCAGACCTCTGAAACAGCGCTGTCACTTTGTGGCTTTTAAGCCTCGCCAAGAAGAGACAGTCATTAGGGGTTGGCATTGCTGCTACTGTTCTGCACTAGGTTGACTGAGCAGAGGCATGGAATTTGCTCAGTCACAAGTAGGAAGCCTGTTCATTCTCATGCAGTACCCTCAGGCCAGGATCTCTGACCGTGAACAAGTGACCTGGTGAATGTATTGTTTCCCTGCACTTTCAGTTGAGCTGGACTGTTTTTTTGGGTTTTATATTCTTGCGTCTTTTTCATAAGTCTTTTCTCCTTAAAAAGGGAAATGTAGAGGACCTAGAGTTCAGAGGCCTATGATCGGGAATAACAGCCATCGATTCAAACTGCTGTACTTGCTTTGGGGATCATGGGGAGGAGTGTTCAGTCTAGGGCAGCTGGGCTCGGCTCAGTTTCGCATTGTGTCTAGGACTGTGTCCGCATGCATTTGTGCCAAAGGGCTGGTCAGACAGACATGCACATAAAGTCTCAACTTGTGTCCTATGTCTTGCTGTCCCCTGGACAAGTCACATGACACAGCTCAACATTCATGAGTTTCTGTCCAAGAGGATAGGCTGAATAATAAGGATGGGATTAACATACCTGTAAGTCACTCCTCACGGTCATTCCATTTGTGCATTTCCAGTGTTCTTGAAACCCTAAAGCTGGTGGTTAAGGCACTGCATAATACTACGGTCTATAAGCCAGGGCATGACTTTCATTTGACTCTTACCCTTTTCTTTGAAGGATTTTGACTTGAGCCAGTTGCACAGGGGCCTGGACGCTCGGCCTGAAGTGACACGCAACGATGTGGCGCCAACCCTGCTGACGGTGCCCCAGTACCGACCGCGCCCTGCCAATCCCGATGAAATTGGAAACTTCATCGATGAAGTAAGCAAAACCAAGAGCCAACACATAAGTCATCCCTAAATTTAGAAAGGAACAGTTACTTTGAACGATTCAGTAGAAATGGGAATGAAACTAAGAATTCAAAGCAGATACAGTGTGGTTTTTCTTGGGCCTCCCTTTCGTCTGATTGATACTCTGCATTCTCCAGTTAAACAGATTTACTTTGTGCGGCAGAAGGCTGAGGAGGCAGTGTTGGTAGTGCAACAGCCTTTCCCACCTTTATGGTACCTGATAGAGGCATGTAGAGCCTTGTTCTGTCTTTGTCTTGTAAGCACAAGCTGGCCACCACACTTCCAGACCTTTAGTCTAGTCTGCATTCCAGCCAGGCAGGGCAGCAGAGAGCGTGAACACCTAGCAAGCTGTTGAGCACCTGCAGGGAGCTCACCATACATGGCCAGAGAATTATCTGTCTGTAAGGGAAAGTGAAATAAGTCATGAAATTAGCTGTTTAAGGTAAGATGAAGAACTAGGGGTAGGAATGGCAAAGAACCACGTAAGATAAAAAAGTTCAGTAAGATTTATTTCCTTAGGCTGTTACCTTTTCACTGACTTCTGTACCACGTTTTTTTCCTGAAGGTCTGTGAGTGCTCTGGCAGTCTTTAGGGTGGGATTGGTTTCACTTCCTGCTGGAGTAAGAATTCCATTGAGTCCAGAGGAGGGAGGTCCCCAAGCCATGGGCTCCTTTGAAAGAGCCCAATGGAGGCCCACCCTGGTGGCGCAGCCAGCTGGAGTGCTACACTCCAAAGCTAAGCCAAGCTGTGGCTGTCTCCGTGTGAGTTCGAGCCCCACCCCAGAGGTGACCCACATGGCGTGGCAGACCTCTCCTGATCTGTTCTCTGCTCCCCTCAGCAGGGTACCTCATAGATCTGCCTGTTCTGCTCCCCACTCTGTCTCTGGTGAATCCTCTCACCGCCCCTACACCTCTGGCCTGTACCCCAGTTCTTATGTGCATAAATAAATGAAAACATTCTTTAAAACAAGAGCCCATTGAAACCATGCTTCTGAGATACATTTGGAATCGGGTTCTTTCCTCAAATTCACATCTCCCAATTACTACACTGTCTCTTCATGACAGCACCACACGCACACCTGACTTTGCCAGGGTCACATAGGTGTCCCTGGCAGTGATTGCTGCTCCTGGAGCCCCATGGGGCTGGTGGGTGCATCATTGTGCGGGCACCTCACTTCAGACACCAACAGGAGGCATGAAATTCCCTTTCACTGAGAGCCCCCCCCCTTCTCTCCTGTAGAACCTGAAAGCGGCAGACAGTGACCCCACTGCCCCACCTTACGACTCTCTGCTGGTGTTTGACTATGAAGGAAACGGTTCTGAAGCTACCAGTCTGAGCTCTCTGAACTCCTCAGAGTCGGACCGGGACCAGGACTACGACTACCTGAACGAGTGGGGCAACCGCTTCAAGAAGCTGGCCGACATGTACGGGGGCGGCGAGGACGACTAAGGGACTCGCCAGACGCCGAGCGTCAGGTCTTTGTACTCGTGCTCAGAAATGAGGATGAATTTCCCACATTTCCTTTCACTTGACTTTCTGGGGAAAAAAGACTGATCAGCAAAGTTGTTAGATTTTTTTTTTTTTACTTTCTAGATGTAATCTGTGTTTGCTAGAATGCTTCTGCCTCATTCCTTGGATTCTACATGGTGGCCTTTTCCAAAAGATGCCCAGCTGCCCATCTTGTTTTGTATATAGGAAATTTGTAAGTGATTCATAACCAAACTTTTTCCTCTCCTGTAGTGGCACTGATGTTCCAGGTTCTCATGTTCAGTCAGAATCCCATTACATAGCCCCAGACAGGAGCCGTCTGGAGCAGAAATGATTTGGCCACTGTGTGCTCTTGCTGCTTTTTCCTCTTCTATCTCCTGAGCACGGAAACAGGCACCTACCCACTTACTTGCTCTGGGTGGGAATGGAACGTTACAGGAATGTCGGCAGGTGGGCTGTGGGCCTCAGCATGAACTCTTCACCCAGAAAAATGTGATGAGCTTTACAGGTACCACTCACCTTTCACTGTTTATCATGAAAATGAATGATTCCAAGGCTCAAGATGGTGCCTCAAGTGCTGCAAATACAGAAGCTGGCTTATTCCAGCAGAGGGAACATGTGGGCTCTGGAGACAGCAGCACAGCTCAGCAGCTCAGACAGGATGGTTGAGGTGGGTCTGTCAGAGCTAACCACGTTTCCTGGTAGGAGTTGTAGATGATCATTGATGTCTGAAGAGCAGAATCTCCATGTGCCTATGGAAAATGTTGGTCGAGAGTATACAGAAACTGAGAAAACAGACTATTAGCAAGTTTTAGGAGAAGGAAGAAAATGTTTTCTTAAGGGGTTATGGGGAGGTGAGAACCTTGATTGGGATTTTTAAGTAGAACTGTTGAAATTATTTTTCATGTTTATTTTTAAGGAAGCTGCTGTCAACTGTTTTTAGAAGGAAAGGACCATTCCTGCAATCATAGTAAGGCACTGTCATGATTTTGCAGCAGTATAAACTAATGTGGATCTGTCTGTATAAAAAAATGCCGCTGTAGTTTTTGAGTGACTGTGTGGGTGCTGAAAATTTTGTATTTTCTTTGAGGGTGGGAAAGGAAAACAATTCTAAGAATATTCTTTTTTATAAATTTTATTAAACAATTTTGTTAAACCTTTGTCCAATGTGTCAATATACCACAAACCTAGAACTGTCATTTTCTTGAGGAAAATACTTCATAAGGTCACTATATTTGAAAGCCATTCATACAAATGACCCTCTCTAGGGGACTGGGCATCAAACAACCGTTATAGCAAAGTTAGTCCAGACCAGGGGTTAGCACAGGCAGATCCACTGAAATATACTGCTGAGGGGCACAGGGTAGATCTAGAGAGGTCTGCTGTGCCATGTGGGTCACCTACCTGGCCAGGGAGAGAACTTGTGCTGCAGTGGCTGTGGACAGCTTCATAGAGCTTTAACTCATCACACCACCAGGCAGGGTCCCATTATCACTTATGATAAGAGAAATGCAGATCAAAACCACACTGGATACCATCGTATCCCTGTGAGAATGGCCCATGTGAAAAAGAAGAGAATTAACAAAGGTTGGCGAGGTTGTGGTGGAAAATGAACTCCTAGGTACTATTGGTGGGAATGCAAGTTGGTATAGTCCCTGGGGAAATAGATAGAGCTTGCTCAAGAACATAAAAATAGGGCCCTCCCTGGTGGAACAGGTTAAAGTGCAGCACTATGTAGCTATCTGCAGCCACTGCAGGATGAGTTCTATTCCCGGCGAGGGAGGTGACCCACAAGGTGTAGCATACCTCTCCTGGCCTGCCCCGCTGCTCCCACAACAGTGTATTTCACTAGGTCTGCCAGTTCTGCTCCCCACTCTGTCTCTGGTGAATCCTCTCACTGCCCCTGCACCTCTAGCCTATAGAGAGTATTTGAGTTCTGTATGCATAAATACATA